GGTCTTGAGTGTAATTATAGAGTCTTTAATACATTTTTTTTTCTACATAGGCTAATTTGTCAAATTTTAACATACTTCCTCGTGTTCACTTTAGGTGTAAATAAACAAGAAAAAAAAAAACCTTATCTATCACTGACTTGACAAATTAAGTAGAGATGCCAGAATTTTGAAGTGCTAGAATTAAAAAGGTGCTAACATTACAAAGGGGCCATACTCTACCCTGACTTAAAAGAATTATAAGACAATACAATTTTAAGACAGGAGAGATTCTTGGTATGTATTATTTCTTGTGTCTGATAGTAGGTCCCTTGTAGGATGTTCCATAGTTAGAGAGATATGTCTTTGTTTTGTTTTTAAATCACAATTGGTGTAGACCACAACATGATTTGTTAGCCGATTTGCTATTGAAATCTAGAGAAGTTTGTTATGGGACAATGAAGATTAATTTGCCACTACTTATTATTATTCTATAGTTTTGATATTTTTAATGTAATTTTTGTGATAAATATAGGTCCACAAACTTACATGTATTAAGTCCATCACGTTTGGTGTGAGAAAAAGATTAAGATTAATCTATATTTATTTTTGATTTTTAAAAAAGTTGATGGTATTAATGAATTATTGGATTTGAAAAGAAATATTACATTAAAAATTTTGTAATGTAGTACTATTATCTGCCACGCATTCTTTTATAGTTGCTATTTCACTCTACACTTTTGGTCTGTTCTTATTGCTTATTGCATGGAAATAAGGTATCTATCCGGCATTTAAAAGTTGCTGAAATAATTTTGTGTTGCTATGGTTTTTTTAAATTGTTGTTGTTATGTTGTTGATTTTGTAAAAAATTATGTATTTTTCTATATCAGGCATGATTTTCTACATATTTGCCAATTCACATTAACTGTGTGCTCTAGGCAAAGACAAGAAAGGAGGCTGCAATCTCTCTCGTGTGGACAGCACTACTTGCCTTTTCCCTGTTGAAGAAAAAGCAGTAGAATATTACTTTGCTTCTGATGCAAGGTGAGTTTCCTTAATTGATTCACAGAGAATTTTTATTAAAACTTCTTATGTAAAGGAAACTCAGGAAGAAGTCATTTTGTAGAAGTCGGTCATGCTGTATAATAGAACTTTTTTATTTTTACAGTTCTAGAGGTGGAACCTCATGCATGCTAGACAAGCACTACATTGTTTTTCTTTCTTTCTTTCTTTCTTTCTTTTTTTTTTTCTTGATTACTGGGGAGTGAACTCAAGGCTTTGCTCATGCCAAGCAAGTGCTCTGTCACTGAACTATGTCTCTGTGCCCAGGCAAGCACTTTACCAATGAGCTATACCCCATGCCTAAAACTTCCTTGATTATAGAGGTGACTTTTTTTTTAATCTCACTTCAAACCAGGTAGGTCAGTTTACCAAGAAAAAAAAAAAAAAATATATATATATATATATATATATATTTGAGACTTGTTCCAGTGTATTTACTTTCGAGTACTTGTGTTTTTTTTTTTTTTTGGGGGGGGGGTCTTTCTTTCATGAGGCTTATTTAGGTTTTGTAGGGAGGAGAGAGATTAGAGAGTAGAATTAGGTTAGTTACTATCACAATTAATAGTATAGTTGCTGAACCATTGTATTTTAGTCTTTTTTTCCTGTATTTTTTATTGGTGCATTATAGTTGTGCATAATGGTGGGATTTATTGTTACATATTTATACAGTTACACAGTGTAGCAATAGAATTTGGCCARTATCATTGCCCAGTATTTCCCCATTCTGTAGTTTTCGTCTTAATGTGGACACTCATTTTCTTATTTTTTTTTTTTAATTTGGAATGAACTTGGAGCATAATTATTTCTCTAAAGGACTAGTATTAAACTAAGTTATTTGAAAGAAAATGTGTTGCAATGTTTAGATTCATTTATAAATAAAATACTGTAATAATGGGAGTAAAATGGAATTACTCAAATTGCCAGTAAGTATGTGATTTAGTCACTAAGCCTGAAGATAAAAGGCAATAATAAAAATGAGAAAATGATACCATGTAGGACTTCAGGGAATGTGTTATCTTAGTAAGGAAGCAAACTTCACTGTTTTCTAATTTTTACAGATATGTAAGATGTGTAGTCAGTTGGTTTACTACAGAGTTGACAGTTACTGCTTAAAAAAAAAAAAAAAGTATTATTTGCCCTTAATGAGCTCTTCCATAATGGAGGAGGCAAATTTTAAACACCAATTACACAAGCATAAAATTATCACTATGATAAAAGCTACAGAATACTTTTATCAGGGTGATACAGTCCTTTGTAGGTAGATTTTGTCAAGGGGATGAAGCCTGAATGAAGAGTTAAGGGGAGAATAGGAATTAATTAGGTGAAGGGGTGAAGAAAAGAATGTTCATTCTCTACAGGTGGCTCATCCTATGTGAATTCAGGAGGGATGTGAGTATGGTTGGAATAGAGCATAAGAGGAATCTTGGTGGGAGAAAAGATTGGAGAAGAAGGTATAGGGCTCATGGTAAGACATTTTGATGTTTTCCTAAGAGCCAGAGGGAAGTCATGAAGTGGTTTGTTGCGGGAGGGAAGCATCTTGATCAGAGTTGCCTTTTGATATCAACTATGGCAGAAAAGGAGAATGTGTAGTGGAAGGTAAGAGAGAATGTGGGTGAACTAGTTAGGGTGCTGCAGTGGTAAGAGTAGATGGCAGCTAGTACTTGTTTATGACAATGGACTTGGAAGGAAATTTTGAGAAATGTTTAGAGTTAAAATTGCAGAATTTTCTGATGGGTAGAAAAAGGAGGAAATAACCATGCCTTCTGATCTAATCTAATTTAATTATGTTGCTAGGCAGAGTTTGTTTTATTTTTTTGTCTGCAATGACCCTCCCCACCTCCACCAACATTGCCCTGAAAGGGATAGCACTGATAACTAGAAAATTAACAAAAGTATTGCAAGATGGTGGAGTATTTGTTTATTTTGAAGTACTGAGGATTGAATCCAGGACCTTGCATATGCTAGGCAAGTGTTATACCACTGAGTTGTTTCTCACCCTGGAGTTTGTGCTTAAATTTGATTTGTGTATCCTAATGATAGTTTTGTTTGTAATAATGATCCTTGATTATTGATATTTATATYTCCTTGAACATTTTCTAGTGCCGTCATTGAACACACCAATCGTGTCATCTTTCTAGAAGATGATGATGTTGCAGCAGTTGTGGATGGCCGTCTTTCTATCCATCGAATTAAACGTACTGCAGGAGATCATCCTGCTCGAGCTGTGCAAACCCTCCAAATGGAACTCCAGCAGATCATGAAGGGTGAAAGTTTTTGTCATGTTGTAGCTTGGTGTCCTTAAAGAAAGGAGATATTCTATTTCTTGTCCTACCAATGAATCTAACCATATTGCTGAGTGATATCTTCCATATGATTAATGAAGCGACAGTCCCAGGAAAAGAGATGATTCTTTAAAGAAATTATCTGCATTTCTTCCAGTAGTTCTTCAAACTAATTCATGGTTGGTTCTAACATTATGAAAAATAGATCGATTAATAGTGCCTGATATTTTCAAGATATTTTATATCTCTTCTGTTTTATATGTGTTCTTTTTCTCATTCTTTTTGTATTCTCCCCATGCTTCGGTTTTTTCATATATAAAATGGTTTTCATAGAACCTACCTCATTAAGGTTGTTTTGAGTACTAAGAGAGTTTAATACACTTCAGAATAGTGCCAGACACACTTAGTGAATCCTGAATAATGTTTTGTTGTTGGTAGCTATTGTGATAATTATGGTTTTTATTTTTATTCTCCTTTCTGATTGAATTGTGGGAATAAAAGTCAACATTTATTGCATAACTGCTATATGTCATATTCTTTGCTATATTAATCTGTACCACAATGTACACAATGCAGTAACTGCTGTTCTTATTTTACAGATTAAGGAATTTCCCCAGTTATGATAGTAAAGGATAAAACCATGATTTGAACCTAGACCTAGACTGACTCTAAAAATTAGGCTTATATTATTTCCCTTTTTTTGCTCTAACTGTATATCCTAGGTATGAAGTGAGTAAGACTTTTCTTACTTGTTCATTTTTTCTCACATATATGCCTTCAGTCCATTAGGCAGTCATGTATGAATACTGTTTCTATTTAGCAAGATTATGTTAAAGGAGACAGTTGGATACAAATTTCTTTTTATTGGGCTTATTAATTTTTGTTTTACCTTATATAATTTCTATGACTTAGGCAACTTCAGTTCATTTATGCAAAAGGAAATTTTTGAGCAGCCAGAGTCTGTTGTGAACACGATGAGAGGAAGAGTCAACTTTGATGACTACACTGGTAATGACATAAGCCATTATTGTATTAAAGTCTCGTGTGTGTTGGGAGGGTGCCATTAGTCACCTGACTATTTATTGTCYTTTGTAGCCTTGGGAAACAACTGTGGCCTCCAGCCGTCATGGATGGTTAATCCTTTAGTGTATAAACTACTTATATGAGGTATCTAGAATAGTAAGATTCATAAGGATAAAAAATAGATTAATGGTTGCCAGGTGCTGGGGAAAGGGTTATTGTTTAAACTGGGTAGAGTTTCAGTTTGGTATGGTGAAAAACTACTGGAGATGGATGATAGTGATAATTATGCAACAATGACTGTAGGTGGTGCTACTTATTTTTTGCTTTAAAATAGTTAAAATGGCAAAGTTTATGTAATGGGAACCTGCTGTGACTGTCAAGGACAGTTCTGGGCACTATCCTTGGCACTGAATTCTAAGAACAATATCTGGTCCACCTACTGGGAAGCTTACATGTATCTACCCAGGCTAGATTTTCTCTTTCCAGTTATAAATAAATAAAAATGTAAACTTCCCCAGGGATCTCAGGTAATTCTGATGCCATGTGGTCTAACCTGTACATGTTTAAGGTAGAGGTCAGAGTTCAACATTAGTTTTATTTGTGGAAATTTTCTTTAGACCATGTGTAACAGACACATATGTCTTTGGCCATAGACGATCAGTCTCAAACTCCTCTTATAGATTTGAGTGAATAGGAAAGTGATATCTGATACAGTCTTGTCCTTGAGGTATACTAATAATCTAGGGGTGGGGATGAATATATAATTAACTATTTAAAGTAAGGCAAAATATGATAGTTGACATTAGAAACTCATTTTAATGTTCAAATGCTTTAAGTTTAATGTTGAATTTAGGGAGGTAGAGAATGAGTCTGTGGAAAGGGGCTTTGGGATCAGGGAAGGCTTCATGAAGTAGGAAGGTGTGGGTTTTCAAGAATTTGGAAGGTTCTATAAGAGAAGATCTGTTGGGGATGTAGATTGTGTAGAAGAGCGTTAGCTAAGGGGAACTAGTGAAAAAAGAATGAGGAAGATATTTATGAAATAGTTTGTAGTCTAGTTTGTCTCCTGGACCTAGTACTTGAAGAGGAGTAAAAAGAAGTCTAGGAATGAAGGGGAGAGGAACTTCTGTGAGGGCCTTGAATGCATTCTAATGTGAGGACTTGCTGGGCTACCTCTTTTTGTAGAAATTACAGAATTGTCATAGATGAGGAGCCAATGTTGGTGCTCACTATGCTTTCCTGAGGTGGCTGGGTACCACTCTCCACTGTCCCCTGGAGGAGTGAGATGCTGAAATGCAGTTGTCTGTTAGCATATTGTCCTGTCTGGGGTACAGGGAAAGAAAGGAGAGGGAGGTGGGGACCACAAGAGAAATAGGACCTACATTTAGCTGTGTGAAAGAAGGGGTTGTCAAAGATGGTTGAGTTGAAAGAACTGGGAGAGTAGTAAAAAATACCACTGTGGTATTTATGAAATTAAGATCAGGAAAAAGATTTGTTTTGTAAGGAAAGAAGATAAAATAAACTGTGAGAAGTGTATTGTCCTCTCTACCCCCTGATCCCAGGCCTTGAACATGCTAAGCACATGCTATAACGCTGAGCTCTAGCCTCAGCCCTTAGAAGTTCATGGCTTTTAAAAGCTCTATTATCTCTATTAATGTGCATAAAAGTTCTATAATAAAAACAAGATACCTGCAGACTTAGTTGTTAAAATGAGGAAATCAAGGCCTTGTCAGTTTAAATGTCTAGCCAAAGGTTACATTTCTCAGCATTCATGGAGCATTCATGTGTTCAGTGTAGTTCAGTGTAGTTCCCTAATACTCTGCAACCTCACCCCTGACCACTAGGCCTAGAGCAGGTTCAGGGTGTGACAGCACAGGAGAATGATGCTCATGAGGATGTACATGTTTTCCTCTTCAGCCAGGACCTGAATTGTGTGAGTCTAGAGCTCTGCTAGCCACTCAGGGCCTTGACCAGGATATTCATGTGGTGGGTGCTTAGAGGTATGGATTGAATAATCAAATGAATGTCAAATGAGAATTTCTCCCAGGTAGAATACTAGTCTGTGTAGAAGGATCTATAGAGAAGACAAATGAAGAACAACACACCAGTAACTATAGAGACAGAAAAAGAAACAGAGGGCAGACTTCATTAGAAGGTTTCAAGATCAGATTTATGTTTTTAAAGGATCTCTAAAAGATTATTTTGGCTGTGTGTGGAGGGTAGATTCCAGGAAGTCAAGAATACAAGAGTGAGTCAGGGAAATGTTTTTTTCCAGGGGAGATGGTGGTACTGGGGGATTGCAGTACAGGGACTTTTGAAGGTGGACATAGGGGAGGGTAGGACCAATCAGGATAATGCTGACATGGAGCAGTTAAGTGGTTGGCAGTGGCATTTACTGAGATAGCAAAGGCTGAGAGTAGGTTTATTTTATATACTGAGCACTATTCTGGGCAGAGGGCAGTGGAAATAAACATAATAAAGATAATTTTTTCCATATAGGTTTATAAAAAGTTAATAAAATTCATCACTCTTAGTATAAAATTCTGGGTTTTTTTTTTGTTTGTTTTTTGGTGCTGGGGATTGAACCCAGGGCCTTATGCATGCAAGGCAAGCACTCTACCAATTGAACTATATCCTAGCCCTAAAATTCTGTTTTTAAATTTTGTTTTGCGATGGAATCTCAAATGCTGCCCAAGTTGGGCTTGAGCTACAGGGCTCTAGTGATCCTCCTGCCTCAGCTTCCTGATAATATTCTGAGTTTTGATAAACCTCTGCAGAAAAGTCATAATCCTAACATCTGTAAAGTCAAGATGTGGAACATTTCCATCACTCCATAAATTTCTGTGTCCTTTATTATCAGCTTCTCCCCACCTCCAGTCTTCAGCTTCTTCCTATCTGTTGTTTATGTCCCTTTGCCTCTAAGATAACATTTAATTCAAAGGGAAAAATGTAAAAATGACTAAACAAAGTAGAATGCAAATACTGTGGTTGCATGCCCTTGGACCAGGGTGGTAGGTATTGTTAGTTACAAGTTTAGAGGAAATTAAGTTATGATCTATTAATTTCATTTTCATAACTATGGAGAACTATGCTCCCTAAAAGGAATATGAATTCTTTGAAACAGCAGTGTTATTTCTCATATCGGCAGTAGACACTTATGAAAGGTCACTTCATGTGGTTCTTTCCTAAATAATTGTGTTCTCAAACTTTTATTTCAGTGAATTTGGGTGGTTTGAAGGATCACATTAAGGAGATACAGAGGTGTCGGCGTTTGATTCTTATTGCTTGTGGAACAAGTTACCATGCTGGCGTAGCAGTAAGTGACCTTTTAAAATTCTCATTATGTTATTTTAGATATAAGATATCTGCAGACCAGCAGTGCCTCTACTAACACCATGTAAAACTCTTGTTCAGATGTGTTACTTTTTCATGACAAATATCAGGAAGATTTAGGGGATTTTAAAAGATGGTCGAATTATTTATCAATGGAAGATTTGCTGTAGACAGACAGGTCTTTAGATATCAGAGGGACTACCTGAAGCTGACTTCATGAAGGACCAAGAGGGATGAGTTTGTTCACCATTCCAGGCTTGTAGCCTTGGGAGTGTGCCTACTTATATGAGAGCAGTCATTGGGTTTTACTTAGCATTGCTCACTTGCCCCAGACAGGTGACTAGTAATGTGTCTACTGCAGCAGGAGTTTACTCCATTGTCCATTACTGTCAAGAAAGGAAGTCTGCTTTTGGTCAGACTTTGTTCTTTAAATTGATATTTTAGAAGCTAAAGTTCTGTATTAAATATGTTTATTAGCTTTCAGTATAGAAATTATAGAATGTGATGGTCTTTTAGTCCAGTAAATCAGATTTACATGTAGATTCTTCATAAATGAGACAGATTATGTACTGCTTATCTAAAGAGGATTTTTACATTCAATTTCTGCTTTTAGGATTGATTCCCCAAATTCATGACATAGTAATTTTTTTAAAAAACATTTTTTTTTTTTTACTTGTAGATGGACACAGTACATTTACTTTATTTTTATGTGGTGCTGAGGATCAAACCCAGTGCCTCACACATGCCAGTCAAGCACTCTACGACTGAGCCACAACCCCAGCCCGACATAGTAATTTTTACTTGCTAGGGCATACATAATTTGTATCTTAAATTAGTAAAACCATCTGATCACCAGCTGTTACATCCCCAAACCCCCCCCCAAAATTTATGTGTTCCTAAAAGGAAAGGCTATGCAATATTGAAGGGAAGAGGTCTGGAGTGATGAGAAGAGGAATGAGTTAAAAATATTAGTGTAAATTAAAGAAGGGATGGGCTAATTTACTGGTGCTTTAGGTCATCTACTGCTCTCAATTGGGGACAGAAATGATACACTGTTAGAAATTCTTGTATCATCTCTAAGTATGATATATAATGCAAGGTTTTTGTGGATGTCAAGATTACTATAGTTGATGGACATTAGAGATCCCCTCTATGGTTTGTCATACAAAATAGTGCCATTTTTCCCCATTAATTTGAATTGTACATGTTTGTTTTTTTGGTGGGTCAAATGTACATGACACATTTTGTATGAATGCTTTTTATATCCTGTGTATCCTGAACAATAACAACTTACTACACTCAAATCATTGTAAGTACAGCATGCTTTTCAAAATTTTGGTTTTTTGAATATGTGTATTTTTTATTTTTGAGACAGGGTTGCTCTGAAGAATTTAATTCCAATGTAATACTTATATTGTAAAGTCAGGGAAAAGTTGGATTTACATTTAAAAGGGAAATGTAGCATGTAGCATGTAGCATTTTTTTTTGTAGTTGTTGATACACAGCATGCTTTTATTTTGTTTATTTTTATGTGGTGCTGAGGATCAAACCCAGTGCTTCACCAGGATTGAGAACCTAGTGCAAAGGAAGTGCTCTGTCACTGAGCTATAGCCCCAGCCCTCTTTTTTGCTTTATTTTTAAAAATTTAATAAAATTTGTTCTAAGTAGTTGTGCATGACAGTAAAATGCATTTTGACACATCATACATAAATGGAGTATAACTTCTTATTTTGGTTGTACATGATGTAGAGCTACACAGGTCATGTAATCATATTATGCATATAGGATAATAATGTCCAATTAATTCTATCATTTTTACCCCCATACCCCTTCCCCTCYTTTCACTCCCCTCTGTCTAATCAAAAGTACCTCTATTCTTATATAGGCCCCCACCCGCCCCCCAAATTGTGAATTAGCATTTGCATGTCAGAGAAAACATTCAGCCTTTGGTTCTTTGGGATTGGTTTATTTTGCTTAGCATAATATCCTCCCGTTCCACATCCATTTACTGGCAAATACCAAAAATTTCATTCTTTTTTTAAGGCTGAGTAATATTCCATTGTGTATATATGCTACAATTTCTTTATCCAYTCATCTGTTGAAGGTTCCCTAGCTTAGCTATTGTGAATTGAGCTGCTATAAACATTGATGTGGCTGCATCACTGTAGTATGCCGATTTTTAAGGCCTTTGGATATGAACCTAGGAGTGGAATAACTGGGTCAAATGGTGGATCCATTCCAAGTTTTCTAAGGAATCTCCATACTGCTTTCCAGAGTGTTTGCAACAATTTGCAGTCCTACCAGCAATGTATGAGTGTATCTTTTCCCCCACATCCTCACCAACACTTATTATTGCTTGTATTCTTGATATTTGCCATTCTAACAGGAGTGAGATGAAATCTTAGTTTTGATACACATTTCTMTAATTGCTAGAGATGTTGAACATTTTTTCATATATTTGTTGATCCATTGTRTATCTTCTGGGAAGTATCTGCTCATTTCTCTAGCCCATTTATTGATTGGGTTATTTGATTTTTTTGGTGTTAAGTTTTTAAAAATTCTTTATATATCCTAGAGATTAGTGCTCTATTTGAAGCGTATGTAGTAAAGATTTTCTCCCATTCTGTTGACTTGCTCTTCACGTTATTGTTTCCTTTGCTATGAAGAAGCTTTTTAGTTTGAATCCATCCCATTTATTGATTCCTGATTTTGTTTCTTATGCATTAGGAGTCTTGTCAAGGAAGTCAGTTTTCTATATAGATTTCCAGTTTTCCCAGCACCATTTGTTGAAGAGGCTATCTTTTCTCCAATGTATGTTTTTGGCGCCTTTGTCTAGTATGAGATAACTGTATTTATGTGGGTTTGTCTCTGTGTCCTTTATTCTGTACCATTGGTCTACATGTCTGTTTTGGTGCCAATACCATGCTGTTTTTGTTACTATAGCTCTATAATGTAGTATAAAGTCTAATATTGTAATGCCTCTTGCTTCACTCTTCTTGCTAAGGATTGCTTTGGCTATTCTGGGTCTCTTATTTTTCCAGATGAATTTCATGATTGCTTTTCCTATTTCTATGAGGAATGTCATTGGTATTTTTATTGGAATTGCATTAAAATTGTATAGTGCTTTTGGTAGTATGGTCATTTTGACAATATTAATTCAGGAACAAGGTAGATCTTTCCATCTTTTAAGGTCTTCTTTAATTTCCTTCTTTAGTTTTCATTGTAGAGGTCTTTCACTTTTTTTGTTAGGTTGATTCCCAAGTATTTTTTTTTTTTTCCTGAGGCTACTGTAAATGGAGTAGTTTTCCTAATTTCTCTTTCAGAGGATTCATCACTAATGTACAGAAATGCATTTGATTTATGGGTATTGATTTCATATCCTGTTACTTTGCTGAATTCTTTAGTTCTAGATATTTTCTGGTGGAATTTTTTGGATCCTCTAAGTGTAGAATCATGTCATTGGCAAATGGTGATAGTTTGAGTTCTTCTTTTCCTATTAGTATCTCTTTAATTTTTTTCATCTGTTTAATCACTCTGGCTAGAGTTTCAAGGATTATGTTGAATAGAAGTGGTGAAAGAGGGCATCCCTGTCTTGTTCCAGTTYTTAGAGGAGATGCTTTCAATTTTTCTCCATTTAAGAATGATGTTGGCCTTGGGCTTAGCATAGATATAGCTTTTACAACATTGGGATATGTTTATTTTTTTTCTTTTGTTTTTTTTTTTTTAAAGAGAGAGAGAGAATTTTTAATATTTATTTATTTATTTAGTTAGTTAGTTAGTTAGTTAGTTTTCGGCAGACACAACATCTTTGTTTGTATGTGGTGCTGAGGATGGAACCCGGGCCCACACGCATGCCAGGCGAGCGTGCTACTGCTTGAGCCATATCCCCAGCCCAAGAGATATGTTTCTAATATCCCTAGTTGCTCTAGTGTTTTGAACATGAAGGGGTGCTGTATTTTGTCGAATGCTTTTCTGCATCTATTGAGATGATTGTATGATTTTTTTCTTTAAGTCTATTGATGTGATGAATTACATTTATTGATTTTCATATATTGAACCAACCTTGCATCCCTGGTTTCTTTTTGCTGGTGCTGGGAATTGAACCCAGGAACTTGTGCATGCTAGGCAAGTACTGTACCAACGGAGCTATTTCCCCAGCCTGTACTATCTTTTAAATATCGGTTTTTGTATTTGATTTGCTARAATTTTATTGAGAATTTTTGCATATAATTTCATTAGAAATATTGGTCTGAAGTTTTCTTTCCTTGCTGTGTCTTTGTCTGGTTTTGGCATCAGAGTGATACTGGCCTCATAGAATGAGTTTAGAAGGATTCCCTCTTTTTCTATTTCATGGAATAATTTGAGTAGTATTGGTATTAGTTCTTCTTTGAAGGTCTTGTACATCTCGGCTGTGAATCTGTYTGATTCTAAGCTTTTCTTAGTTAGTAGGCTTTTTATGGCATCTTTTATTTCATTACTTGAAATTGATCTGTTTTTATATCCTCCTGATTCAGTTTGGGGTAGATCGTATGCCCTAGAAATTTGTCAACGTCTTCAAGATTTTCTGTTTTATCAGAGGGTTAATTTTCAAAATAGTTTCTAATTATCTTCTGTATTTCAATAAGTATCTGTGTGATATTTTCTTTTTCATCATGAATTTTAGTAATTTGAGTTTTCTCTATCCTTCTTAGCGTGGCTAAGGGTTTACCAATTTTATTTATTTTTTCAAAGAACCAATGTTGTGTGCTGATCACTCAGAAAACACTCTTGGTCTGAATTTTGTCCAAATTTGAGTGTCTTTATTTAGTTGGCTGGTGACTGCCCCTCAGCAAGATGCTGTTCAGGGTACAGCGCCCATCTTAATGTAGTCAAGCTTTTTAAAAATAAAAACCACTTTTGCCTTGCGTAGGGGGGGTCTACAATTGCACAGAGCAGCAAGCAAGCTCTGTTGCAAAGCAAGCTCCTTACAGAGCTAAAATTAGT